AAATTTGCTAAATTGATAATACACGTTATTAGGCATATAACATCACATATTCGTGTGTATGTATATATCCACATACAAAAAGGTTTAGGTATATTCTGTCATTTGAAATATATTTATAACCAAATATCAAAACAAGTGAGCAGGTTCTATACTGTGAACCTCCATTTTCCCAAGTGTGAAAACAGAGGTAGATAGATTGGTCTTTGCACCACAACCGCCTCAGTTACGTGGTGGGCTGGATAAGACAAGCAGACCCTGTCTGCACACTATGAAATAACAACTGAAGCATCCCCAGGGCACTGATTTTCAAACAAAGGAGGCACTTACGGTAGGGGAATCTCCTATCATCATTCAATTTTTACATCAACTCTGGTATTAAATTTTTCTTTTGAAAAAGTCTTTTTTTCCTGTTAAAAGCCCATCTTAACTGCTTTCTAGAAATTGGAAGAACATTCTTACCAATGGGTAAGCATGTCAATGGCATGCTTCCACTTGTTCAGACTGGACATACAACTGCACACTGGTGTTCTAGTTCCTGTAGACATGATTCCTGAAAAGTGTGATGTGCCACAACTGAGCCCCACCGTTACTAAGATCCAGAACAGTGCCTTGAACACAATAGTCCCTCAATACATTTTTGTATCTAAAAATGACTTCCTTCTTCCTGAACTTATATATTCATTTTTCTAAAAGATGCTAGTTCCTGTTTAAATAGAATGAAATCGATCTCTTCTGGAAGCCACATTTGGCAGCGAGCTTTCCAGCTGGTGAGAGGAAGCTTGAGCCCAGACACTACAGCTAGAGTGGCAATGCCTAGCTCCCAACAAGAATGGCAAACAATGACTGTGTGTCCGTGTGTTCAACCATTCGTCCATCTATCCATCTGGTCAGGTAAATCCTGGCAATGATTTGGATTCGCACAGCAGACAATATCCTTTCTCTGGAGGACCACTGACACAAAACTGTTTGAATGACATTAACATTCCTACCTCAGCTAATTTGGCAGAACAAAACAAGTTCTGTTAAACCAACATATGGGTTGGTTGTCCAATGTAAATGCTTAGCAAAAAATATGAAGTGCATGAAGTACTGAGAAACAATAAGCCTTTCTTTGATCTTAAATTTTTTTATTTTGAAATCCATGGCACACTAGGTGACTCAGAACATAAGACACATGCTACAGAGCTCGTACAGGGGCTGGGAAGGATGACAGGAGAGGCAGAAGTGAACAAAATGTAAGCACTGGCACCTCCCCCCCTTTTCAGGAACCATGGCATTCAACAAGTGTGTTAAATGAGCCACTACCATATGCTCAACGCTGTAAAGCATGTGGAGATGACAAAACACACTCTTGATCTGCTTTAAATCTGGTAAAGGAGTCCGGGGGTGTGAGCATCCCAAGTGGCACAGCATGGGGCCCTGTACTAGGCTAAACACGGGGTGTCAGGCATTTGGAGGAGAGAGCAATCGCGAGAGATAAGGGCAGGATTCCAGGAGAGGGGCATGCTAACTGGGCTCTGAAGTCAGGGAGCATTAACAGGTGCATGAGAGGCAGTCAGGGAAGGAGAGGGGCACTGTCAAAAACGTGGGAGCATCTAGACTAGGGGTTCTAACAGTGAGGATGTGGGCCAGTAGCATCGGCATCCTCTGGGAGCTTGTTAGAAATGTAAATTCCCAGGCCCATCCCAGCCCTACTGAGTCAGCAACTGTGGGGCTGTGGCCCAGCAATCTGTTTGAACAAGTTCTCCAGGTGATTCCGATGCACACTCAAGTTTGAGAACCACCCAGTTAGAGTCCTCCCTTCACCTGGCTGAGCAGGTGGCCATAGCAGATACCGGCTCCTCAAACACTGCCAACCTTGCCCAGGCCTGCCACTTCCTACAATTGTCAGGAAAGAAGCCCAGGGCTTTCCTCCTTCTCCCCTTTCTGCAAACCAGTGCCCTAGAGTCTGGGCAGCCTGGGTGCAGAGGGGAGTGGGAGGCCGAGGGCTGCCCACCTTCTCCCAGGCTGCTCAAAAGCCACACTCAGTGTGAAGAACAGTTACATTTCTCACTGGCTTCTGTACAAATCCCTCTCTTGCATCTTCCTCGGTGGCCTGTACTTCTAATTGACAACTGGATGTTGGGAGAGCCGGAGGGAAAGAAGAGCCAAGCAGAGATAGGAGGTTAATGGGGCCTCTGTGAGCCCAGAGGGTCAGCAGCTAAAATTTTCTTCCCCCTTGTGTGCAGGTCTAGTGGATGGCTTGCAAAGCCTGCACCTATCCCATAATGAGATGGCTGACAGCAACCTTCGAAGGCAAAGAAGCCATCAGAATTCCATTTCTCTTCAGATCAGATCATTAGAGAGAGCAGCAGGAATATTCTGGAAACTGTTATTGACAATCAAAATGTCTGTAGTCCCTGGAAGACTACCAGAATTGATACTAGCCCTGATATCAGTTCCCCTACATTAAACCCAGCATATACGTGGTTAAAACCAAAAGCACTGATCCCCTTCCCCTGCTTCTCTAAGTTACATTCATATGTAAATATTGGTTTTTTAAACCTTTGTGTCCCTGAACTTCAGAGGGCAAACAGAAGTTATAAATTGTTAGAGCCCAGGTGGCCTCATGCTAACATTTTGGCTAGTTACAGGCCCTTGGAAGTTTTATTACAGGGAAACTGATATCCAGAGACTATCAAGAAGCTGAAGCTTCCTAGACCCCAACTCCTCAGTTTTCTGACACCAGAATCCACCATCCACCACGGAGGCAGACAACCAAGGACATCCACCTGCAGATTCCCTTATCTTGCCATTCCCCTTTCTGCAAGCAGCCTCGCAAGGCCAAATGCAGGCTGGTGGGAGAGCGCTGACCTGCAAGGCCACATGTTCCCCTTCCCCTACCTAAAACCTCAAATAAAACCCCACACCTTTTTTCCTTTGAGGAGGTGGATCTGAGTTCTAATGAACTCCCATCTCCTCATCTGGCTACCTCTTGATATAACTCTTTCCTTGCCATAAGCTTGGCATTCTTGTTTCTATCTTGGTCTCTCTCTTGTGTGGCAGGTAAAAGAAGCTGTGTTTGTGAGGTAACAAGGTCATCAGGGCTGTAAAGTGACTCTGTCACACGCATGTGCAAACAGCTTTCTGCTATCAATCAGTAGAAGGGGGCACAACATGCAGGAGCCTGATCAATTCAACAGTGGCCCTGGTCCCATTTGCTTCCCCAGGGACTGTCATAAGGCGGCAGTTGTTTGATTGGACCTTGGGAAACACCAGCAGAATGGCACAGGCGAACCAGATGCTGCTCTGATGGGTTCACACGCACCCGAGCTAACCGCAGCTGTGTGCTCTGCTGGGCAGCCAGCCTCCCACACACAGGCATATGCACGTCCACAATGGCTGGCTGCGATTATGACCTCTCTCAGCCACTCATGTGGCAACCACTCACATGGCTACTTGCCCCTTATTTGGGCAGGGGTGTGTTATTTCTGTAGTAGGTGTAGTAGGAGTCATGCTACGATATGGACGAAACTCGAGGACATCATATTAAGTGAAATAAGCCAGTCACAAAAAGACAAATACCGTATGATTCCACTTATATGAGGCACCTAGAGTAGTCAGATTCATAGAGACAGAAAGTAGAAGGGTGGTTGCCAGGGGGCTATGGGGGCAGGGAGTGGGGAGTTAGTGTTTAAGGGGTACGGAGTTTCAGCTTTGCAAGATGAAAAGAGTTCTGGGGATGGATGGTGATGATGGTAGTACAACAATGTGAACGTACTTAATGCCACTTAATGTATACTTACAAATGGTTAACGTGGTAAATTTTATGGTATATGTATTTTACCACAATTTAAAAAAATGTCCTAAAAAGTAAATGAGGTATTTTTGCCTTACTGCAGTATGCCCAGTTTGACAGGTGATAATAAAAATGACAATGACAGTAATGTTGATTCACAGGCAGGAGGCTACATACCTGGGAATTATCCCATTCCTTCCTAGGTGCGTTCCATTACCATCCTCAGTTTACAGATGGAGAAAGCGATGTGAATGGGGCAGTGACTTGCTGAGGTAGGCACTCCTATGAGTGGGGTGAGACGTGAACCCAGAAGCCTGTCTGACCCCAACTCGAGGACACTGAAGCCTGATGGACTCTCACCACGCAAACTTAGCTCAAAGTAACAAAAATCCAGTGAGTGACTGTGTGTTGACAGGTACACATAAAGACCTCCAGGTCACTGACTTGCCCTGGTGTATTACTAAGACCTATAATATACATGTAATGGCACAAAGTTCTGGCAATGAACTTGTGGAGAGAACTCGACAGTTCTTGCTCCATGGTGGGCATCTCAGGTCTGGCAGGCACAATGCCCAACTCTGATTTCACATTACTAACACATGCATCTAATCAGCCTGCGAACAAATTTGAGTTTTGCCAGGCACATCTCAGAATGAGTGCTTGAAAAAGCATGTCCCTTGCCTTTGAGGGTCAGAGTTCAGAGACATGTACACTAAGACAATATTTGCCATGCTTGGTCCTGTGTTCCACGACAGGGCTGTGCAGTCAAGGGCAGGAGGAGGCTGGGGGTGTGGAAGGAGGCACCACAGAGCAGGGAGAGGGTCAGGGGATGGAGCTGCCATTGAGACGTGCGTACCTGAGGCCAGCAGGACACCCAGGGGATGAAGGTGGGCAGGCCACCTGAATTTCCAGTCTGAAGGGCAGTTGGCCTTGCTCTAATAAAGCACAGGAAAAATCCCTGTGTGTGAGCAGCACCTGGATGTTGGGTACCTGACCCTCACCTGCTAATCCTGAAACCCACGCTGTACCTCCCAGCCTGGCACCCACTTCCTCCCAAGCACAGGAGCAAGGACTGAAGTGGCTGGAGTCCTCAGAGAGCATTGCCAGAAGGTGGAAGAGGGCAGCTTTATGCTTCCTCCCTCAGCTGGCTGCACTCAAGACCTCTCTCCCGTGTCCTGTGGCCACCCCCTACCCACCCCCAGCATCGAGAGCAGAACAGTACCTGGTGTGGGTCATGGGACCCACTGGTCGTTCAGGCCTCCTCGGGGGCAGCGCGCCCGGTCTGCTGAGAGAATTGGTCTTGGGTGGCCGTGGCTTTTTTGGCGGTATGGCAGGGACAGAAGGCTTCTGTAAGTCCAGTTTTGGCTCTCTCTCTGGTCTTTCTTTAAGTCATTGTTCGAAAAAGCATAAAGACGACAGACAGATGTAGTGTAAGTGACAGTACTTCAGTGCAGATCACTTGTTTCCTCCTTAAAAAAAAATCACTGATGCCACTTGTGAAGGTGAAGTTGGAAGGCGAAGAGCATCATGTATTCTTTGTCAAGTTAGAAAAAGCCCTACAGAGCCTCAGCTCACTGTTCACCTTTGCTCATGCTGGTCCCTCTGCCTGGAGGGCCCTTCTGGCCACTGCCCATCCTCAGCAAACTCCTACTCGTCCTTCATCAGGCATACTCATCAGGCCTGGCCAAAATGTGACACTATCACGTTCCCTTCTCAACAGCTGGACCCACCATCAAAGGCAGACTTTCTTATTTCCTCACCTGAGCTGTGAGGAATACTCCTTTATAAATAGGCCCCACTTGGAGACTTTCTGGGAGTCTGCATGCTTGGCACAGCCTGTAGGCTGGAAGCCCCAAAGGGCAGGGCCCATGTCTGGTCATCTCCCTGGAACCCTGCATGGTGCCTGGCACACAGCAGGTGCTCAGCAAATTGTTGAGGTTTGGTAAAGACCCACAGGACCTGCCAGGCATGGGAAGGAAAGAGGCCTGACACCTCTCAGGTTGGCCTGTGTAAAGGGCTGTGAGCCAATAAAAAGGGGAGCATTTCAGGGAACAATAACTAGTTCTGGATTCCTTTTGTGCAGTTTTAACTTGGAAGGTAAACTGGGACTTCACAGGTATTTGGCGTCCATGAGTTTTTGGAGTCAGAGCTATTAGTATGAAGTTAAAGCCAGATCTGGTGGTCCAGCTGGGCAGCATTCAGTGACAGCTTCACGTTTTCTGTCTCCGATTAGCCTTGCCCCGTGCATGGTGTAAAAAGCATGCATCCACCTTCTTCTTTATAAAGATGGAACTGCAGAGAGCTGCCCAGCAGAGGACAGCAGGTTCCTATGTTTATTTGTAAACTGGAACTCTGAACACATTTTACTTGCAATTACAAGCTCATATTGTTTGGGTGCCCAGGCCAATTGGCAAAGCTTTAAAAAGCCCATCAGGTATTGTACAGATATCACTGTGCTCATCCCCACAATATCTTGGTAGGGGAATATGCTCCATCCAGGAATTCTGGGAACTCATTTAGCAGTCCACAGGGAGCAGAGGAGGAAGGGCTTGGCTGAAAGGCAAAGCAGGGGAGATTCCTCCTGCTGGGAGGGACGGGAGCTCCAGCAGTCTCCAGAACGGGTAGGAGAGAAGGTTCATGCCCACCTAACAGGGAGGCTAAGACTCAGGGTGGGGCTGGTTTTCTGGCTTCCCTGTTGCTTTTGACAAGGGCTTCAACCTTCCTGACCCACTGTGACACAGAACAAGGAATACGGAAGGGGAAGGAACCAGAAGTGTGTGACTACTTGGCCAGCCAACTAGGGTGGGTGTTCACACACAAGCCAAACCCATATGTTAGTCAGCATGAAACAGAGCAGGAAGTGTCCTCATCACAGAGCCTGGCTATTAGCCAGAAACCAGCCACGTGTCCTCCACGAGGACAGGAGGCAGTGTTTGGCTATGTCACAACACACACTTTTATCAAAGAGCTATTGGTAGGGTGCATACTTAATGGCTATTTTTTTCATTTGTCTGTGACACAGAGCAGGCCTTCACAATGAGGTTCCATAACTCAAGTTTTAACTGTTCCCCGTGAAAGAAAGAGGTATAACTTCTTAAGAGCTCCCAATGTTGGTAAAACTTCTGGCAGGCTGATAAAAAATATTAAATTTCACAATAAAATTTCATGAGGCCACCCAGGAGCACCTCCAAATAATTACATTCATTAATTCAGCATTTCTCTTGTGACTTACAAATAAGTGCTTTTTAAAACGGAATTTGCTCTGCCTCCTGTTCATAATAATAACATCGCACTTTCCTCATAAAATGTGGGATCAATCAAATCTTAGACACCTAATAAAATGAGTCCTTCCACAGCATGCAGATTTCTTTGGGAAAGACACCCAGAACGGTAAGAGTCACATTTGGGAAATGGACTGAATGAGACATGTTAAGTTACTTCTCTGCAAATGACATTTCTAACCACCTTCAGGGGACTGCAGGCACTGAGCTGTTTTTCCTAGTTTTGCCATGTCCTCCTCCTCCCAACATTTTTGACCAAGGACATGTGTCCATAAAATAGTAGCTAAAGTCAAGGGTCCAAGCAGTGACTGAGGAAGAGAGCTTTCATTTGTCTGGATGGGAATTTCTCTAAGCCATGTCTATCTGTCAACAGTTAATGAGCACCCTGGGGCACTAGGCATGGGAGAGGGCAGGATGGAAACTACGGCAAATACCTCCGGGCCCTCAAGGAACTTACAGTCGGCATCCTCACCTCAGGATGCTGCTGGTGAGGAAGGGCGGTGATGACAGGAAGATTGGAATGGAAGGGCCCCAATGCATTAAGTGACTGGGCTGGCTGTTTTTCATTTGATGTGAAACTCCGACCCAAAGAAGTGCCACATAACCTTCTCTCCTATTTCCTTAGAAACAGGATATTTAAAAGCAACTGAAACAAAATCATAATCACCATATTCCAAAGAAAAAGCAAATTCTGTGAGTAATCCAGACTAGCGCTGTGACAGACAGCTTTGTCTCTTGCTCTTCTCGAAGTGCCAGTAAAGACGTGATTTCATACCTTTTTCTTCTGTTCTGTTTGGAAGCGTTTCTGGTCTTTCAGGAGGTATCTTTTTAATTTCATGTTTTCTCTCAGTGGTACCTAGTGGGGAAAAGATAAGTCATCAGAAAATGCTTTCTCTATGTGTTTATTAGACATACTAGCATTTCAAATATTTATCAGGTACAGAAAAGTCAACAGTTTTTTCTCCCCTAAGCTGGGTGCTGGTGTTACCTGGCAAACATAAGCTGCTTAGAAACAGAGCAGAAGCCATTTCTGGCCTACATCATTCAGTCTGCCTGCCTATACATCCTTAATTTATAAGAACACCACCACTATTTTCTGATATTTCAATCTGACTTTCTTAGGTATCAAAACAGTCACAGGAAATCACTGGGTGTGGGTGGGGATGTGGATAAATAAGTCAATCATTAAAATACGCAAATAAGAAGTCACTGGATATTGTGTTCTACAAATAAAAAGGAATTTCACAGGGACCTGGATTCCATTTTGTAGCAGTTTTAAAATATGGCCTTGAGTTGTTAGCTACCCTTCCCATTAGGAGGTGAGCTCTATGTCTCTTTGCTTGGAATGTGGGTGGGCTCGTGACCACTTCAACCAGTGGCCCATGTGATACCAGATAATATCTGAGTGTAGGTCATAAAAGGCCATGTAGCTTATGCTTTTTTTTTTTTTTTTTTGCTGGAATACTGAACCTCCATGTAAGAAGTCAACTACCCTGAGGCCACCATGCTAGAGAGGTCCCACGAGATGCTCTGGCATACAGCCCTAGGTGAGCCAGTCTTCCAGCTACCTCTGCCAAGAGGAGCCAGATACGTGAGTGAAGCAGTCACTCTGTGCTGGTCCAGCATTCCCAGCTGAAGCCCCTGACATCACGGAGCAGAGAGACAAGACATCCCAGCCATGCCCTGTTCAAAACTCTTGACCCACAGAATCTGTGGGCATAAGAAGAAAGTTGTTTTATGCCACCAAATTTGGGGCAGTCTGTTAGGCAGCAGTAATAACTAGAATATATTTTTAAGTGGAGGGATGTGCAGAGAAGATATGGTGGTTCTCCCTAAGTCCTTTCTATTAGCGTCTGAATTCCTCAAGCATTACACTTTTCCAAATGTACCAATTAGCACGTCCTCTTCACCCACGTGGACCGCAGCTGCTCCCTCACCTGGGGTCTTCATCAGCGCCAGTGGCCTCAGAGAACTTGGAAAAGAGCTAAAGCACAAAACCAATCACAAGTTCTCCTCTAACTTAGGGACGTGGTTGAGTGCTTGACAAACTCTTTACCTGAACAGCCCTACAGATGGGTGCTTGGTACTAAAATCTCACTTACGCAGCAGCAGAGGCCAAGAAAACTTACAAAAAACTCACTGAACACGCACTTTACCTAATTCTCCCTAATGAATCACTAGAAATTAAACACTGTACCTGATTTCTGTCAATTCCATATCTGACTATTTTTGTCAAATAATCAAACACGAGGAAAATTGGTGATGGGGAAAATACAAATATCTACCTTCCTGTCACAAAGCAGTTCCCAAGATCATTCAGCAGGATGAATGAGCTGTAGCAGTAATCTAGGAAGATTAAATGCCATCTTGATTTACCCCACAGAGATTCAGCATAACCTTTGGTAAAATTGTTTTAAAGGGTAAGAATTTGCCTAGCATGCTGCAGTCTAGTCTCCTAATGATAACGAAGTTCAGCATCTTTACTGAGGCACAGAAGAAATTGACAATCCTACTGCCATGAAGAATCCCATCCTAGTTACATTCTAGGCTACCTGAGCCTTGGACCACTCGATTCCTCTCCTTGGTCTCTAATGCTTCACCAGGGCCTCTAGGGAAAAGGGTCTTCAGAGAAAAGCAAATACATATCCAGCTTTAATTTCAGCACAATAAGATATTTATCTGGCCAGAACCACTAGGTGGCAAAATTAAACTGCTCAATGCAAACAAGGATGGGGGCGGAGCAGAAGATGTAATTAACATCCTATTTCAGGGCTTAATCTCTATAATTCTCAACTATGCTGAAGGGAATGAGAAAGGAATTTGGGGTCAAGCTAATTTTCCCTCCAACTTGTTGGGCCAAAAGAACTTTAAAAGAATCACTCCTTAATAAATCTGTGAATAAACCAATCTGGAAATTTATTCATACTTTAAATGTTATAGAACTATCACAATTATGAATGTGTAGAACTAAAAATACCTCTACTCTTCTTCTGTTTTAGTTATTAATTTTTTTAAATGCCACTTAACTAGTTATTCACGGAGGAATTTCTCCCCATAATTAGCTTTTAACAATTATAAAGAGGAGTTCTATTGGGAAATAAGAATTATCATCTTTGTGTATGAGAATCCAGTGTGCAGTGAGTTACCAATTGTCCAAAAACATCAATTCTTCCTATATTGTTCAACCTTAACATCTGAACTACACAGAAAAAGTGAATTGGGCTCTTTTCCACATTAACAAGAATCATGAGGAAAAGTATCGCTAGAAAAACATTTTTTTGTTGGAGGGTAAGTGAAGTAAGTACAAATTTTGGTTAACCACACGGGACAGACACTGAAAATTCAGCACCACTATGCACGCATGGTGATGCTACAGCCCGTGGGAAGCAATCCTCCCCAAGCTGACCTTCGATCAGGCAGGCACAGGCAAAGAAGGACCATTTTAGTTCTTCTCTCCTCAAAAGTGGTTTATTAAGAAAATAAAAACAAAGCAAACAAAACTGGTTTATTCCAAGGCAAAGTCTTTCAGGTCATTCTCTTTGGGAGGCTGGATTTTTTTGCTGTATCAGTGATACATCTTAATGATATGTTTATTTTTTAGGAAAAACAGCAGTATATTTAAAACCTGCCTGTTGAGACCAAATCGTAACTTCCCAACTTGGCAATCTGTGGCATTTGAATCTAAGAATCTTGAGCTCTCCCAAGGACGCTGTAAATATACGCAGAGAGAGAGATGCACATCGTGTTGACAGAACTGAAAGGTACATTACCTGCCCCTTGCTTGATAACAGGAGCGGATGGAGGAGGTGGCTTCTTGGGTCTCTGAAAAATTAATTGAAATGATACCACATGAGATTGTTGGCAAGCTGAGTCTCTCACATAAGGACCACAGACATTGTTTTCTAGATGTAGTTTGGACAGTCCAGAGAAGCGCTCCAAAAAATTGAGCAATTCTCTCTCCAGGGATGTCAGATTTTGGCACCTTTAAACAAATGCTAAAATAAATTCAGTCTGCAAAACAAAACTCTGATGGACAAATGAAATATCATTTCCCCCTTTCTAAATTTGTAACAGCCTTCTGGAAAAAGCAGGGCTCAGCAAAAATGGCCTGAAACCAGCAAGCACAATGGTACTCCTACGCTGAAACCGCATTTGCAATTAAGATTTAATCTGCTGAATAACCAAGCGATTCAGAAAGAGTTGCTGGGACGGCTCTAAATCAGATCTGCTCTGGATGTGGGACCTTCAACAAAATGCAGGCTGAGGGGCCCATGCAGCTGGGTTAGGGTTCGAAGCCTTCTGCCCTTTTCACCCTGAGGCTAGCAGGCCATTTGTGAGGCCCCCCACAGACCAGCTGTATCCTGGAAACAGAGATGGTGGTTTTTGCATATCAGCCACTATTTATTTTTCTCTCACACCCTGTCACGCTGTAGGTGACGAGGCAGCAATGCAATCAATGGCATTCATCCCTGAACTGGTTCCAGGGCATCTCCTTGCTCAACCTGGATTGACTGTAGGAAGAAGATGGTCAGGCTGGACTTGGCAAACGATTCAGGGGCCGAGAATCCAGCCAGGGCACAATTCTTGGACACCATTCTTGGACAGGGGAGAGGGCGGCCAAAGGCAAGGAGAGAACCATCTCAGTATCAAAATCATTACGGAAAGATGGAAATGGGGAGGGTATGAGCATATAAACCATGTCGCTGCTGATACTTCTCCTGGCCCTCTCTGGGCATCATATACTTGTGATTTTAAAAAAGCTCCATGAACTCTCTCCTGCACTCTGAAAACATACCTCTGTGACTTTCCCACAGGGACCAGCAAAAGCCCCCACCCATGCCCGGCTCCGACCCACCAGTGCCTGATGTAGTACCGGGCACGGGAAGAAATGGTTTTAAGTAAAACCTAGAGAATGTGAGACCCACAAGGAACTTTCTCAGGGGGCATCACAGCATGTAGGCTCTGGATTCAATGAGATTTCAGCTCTGCTCTTTACTAGGTGGGTGACTTGGCTGAGTTACCCCGAGTAAGCAGCGCAGCACGGTGGGCAAGAGGTGGGGCTTCAGAATCCCATGCTCGCTACAAGGCCTGGCTCTTTCAGTTACTGGCCGTGGACACTGGGCAAGCAACTTCATCTAGTAACCCTTCTCATCTGTAAAATGGCAATAATATTACCTCCCTCTCAGGAGGAGATGGTTTCCTAAGCAGAGGGAGTCAGTCAGCACTGCCTCGTTTAACTCTCGTGACAACTCTATAGGTAGTGATATTATGATGCCCATTTTGTAGATGAACTTATTGAGGCTTCAAGAGATGAAGTCATTTCCCAAAGTCACCAGGCTCTTAAATATGGTGGAGGGCTGTGTGACCCACAGGCAAGCAAGCTCTTAACCACTGTGAAGAGTCCATCCTGCCAGAGGGAATCCACAAGACAAACCATCACGTGGCCATAAACCACACACAGAGTTGACAAAAGCACAGGGAACCGCAGTATGTTAAAGCTCAAAAAAAAAAAAAAAAGAGTATCAAATTGCAGCTACATTATGAGCTCAACTATGTTACAATATATAGAGACAAAGAAAAAGACTAGAAAGAAAGTTTATAGTGGTGATCGCTGACTAGCAGGATCATGGGTGTGTGTAAGTATGTGTGTGTTCACTTCTTTAATATTTTTCTGTACTGTCTACATGAGTACAAACTTTATTATTAAAAAAAAAAGAAGAAAGATGCTCTAAGGGGCACCTCGCCTTGCATACTGCAGACAGGCCCTCCACCAGATGGATGTGTTTCTGGCTCTCAGATCTTACGCTCCTCTTTCCCCTTTGCCAGCCCCTTCTAGCTCTCCACCCCGACTCCTTCCTTTTTCTTCCTCCCTTCTCTGTCTGTGTATAAATTAGACTGGGGACAGATGTTGTGTTTACCTAATGAAGTTATCGTTGACACTCTGCCAATTAACCTTCCTTTACTTCAGGATCAGAGTAATTTCTTATTCACGAAACTGCCAACACCCTGTGGCCTAATTCTTCCCAGCCAAGCCCCAACAATGCCTACCCCGTGGACATCTTCCTCACGCCCTGCTGTTCAAAAATTTTTATAACCAATTTCATATGAGCCTCCTCTTGCTGAGGCCATTTCCCCAGTGACCCGTCTCAAACCACAGGGCCCCAAATAAAAAAAGACAATTATAAGGCATCATATTTTCCAAGATTGCTGTGCAGAGAGAAAAACCCTTAGTGTTGTGTCAGATTTGGCATGTGGCAGACACATGAAATGTGACAGGGCGGAGCGGAGGGGCACCGAGAGAGAAAGGAAGGGGTGTTGTGCTGGCAGACAGCGTGTGAAAAGTGTGGTTACGGCAAGCGTGTGCTTGAATGTGGTAGAGGAAGGAGGCAGAGGTGTGAGGTTCTGCTGGGAGCCCTGGCAGTTGTGGTGGCAGGTGGGGCGGTTTGGAAAGGAAGGGACGGTTTGTGAGCTGTCTGTCTTGCATCCACCACGCTTGATCAATGCTGGCGAGGTGCCTACTTTGCTTATCATTAGCAGAGTAGCTTTACAGGTTGTCTTTTGTTCCCCCCACCACCACCGGACTGACTTCATTCTCTGAGTCCCTTAAACTTAGACTTCTTGCTGCCTCAGTTGAGAATTGATGCCACATTTTCCAATAAGACGTTTTTTAAGGTAATTCTAAACAAAAATCAGGGCCAGGGTTCCCTGTAGCTCTAGACCACCTCCCAAATGATTAATAAAGAATTACACCTGAGCCTATGATGAATTTTTCTTTTAATGCAACAGGAAGACAGGGAAGTGAGAACTGAGAAGGCAGACTGGGCAAGTCTGTAGCAAAATGTGACGGTAAAAAATTCATCACAGGAGTTTATGATTCGCAAATAAAAAGATGTAAGCATATCACTTAGTGGATTTTCCTCCAGATGTCCAATTGTGACTGGATAAAGGAGACAAGGAGACAGGACCCAGCAGACCCCCATGTTAAACAGTAGGTCAACGTTTTCTCTATCGAGTTTACCAGCATTAACTAGCTCCTACAGATGTGCAGACAGAAACATCCTTTCAACTCAGGTGGGTATTTTAAGTCATGAATTTTTAAAGGCACTTGTTCTATTTATTCTCTTTATGCCTCCCTCCATGGTGAAAACAAAATGCTCTGGCTCTAAACTCAGGTGGCTTCCACCTGCTCAATTTGTAGGTCAATGCTAAAAAGAGAGGACGTTAGAGCTATGCATGATCGTAGGGGCCCCTTTACAGCTGAGCAAACTGAGGCCTAGAGGGGCCATGTCAACAGCTAGGTGGTAGCCAATGTGGGCCCAGAACTGACATCTCTCAATGTCTAGACCATGGCAATTCATTAAAGAAGAGCCAACATGAAAATGTTCATAACAAAATCAATGAGCCAACATTTTCTGGGAGAGCAGAACGCCTTCCACGGTCTTCACATATGCAGGGTACACAGGCCTGTGCATGTGCACGTGCGTCTGCCCATGTGTACAGTTGTTGGCTTCGACAGAGAAGCAAACACTATCCTTCAAAGGATAAGGATATATTAACTAGATTTGATTTCTTAACATTATTACCAGGAAGGAATTAGAGCTGAATATTCTGGAGTGAAGACAGCAGAAAGGCAAGTTTTACTTCCTGCTGAAGGATTTCAGAATTGACTCTGCCTTTGTTTGGCAAGTCTGGCCAGTCCCAAGTGAAAGAGCTTGTCAGCTGGCTCAGCTGTCCTCCCTGGCAGGAATTCTCATTGGCTACTTGGCCACTTGAGCCAGTTTGCCTTCAGAGCTCTGGTCCCAGACATGTGGTTTGTGTACGTAACCAGAGAAGCATACTCCAGATGGCTGGGTACCCTTTACGGGGGCTTTATTAGAGGAATATGGTAAGGTTCTGGAAGCAAATTTTAGCTTAATTTTGAGCCTTGGGAAGCCCTCCTTCAGGCATCCAGCTAAGTTCTCAGGAGGTGTATGTGTGTGAGGCTGGAGAGGAGCTACAAATGGACGGTTCCTGACCAGGGCACCCCTCATGGCTCTAGAAACACATGGGGGCCTCCACTCCTCCCTTTTCTCCCCTGTTCCTGGTAGAGTGGCAACACCTTTGAAGAGCACGGCTGGGGCTATGCTCAGGGTGATGACAGTGTCTGTAACTGCCCCTCTGCACCCCATAGAGTCCCTAACACAGGAGATCCCTGGGAGCCACCACAAAACCTGCTCTTGGCAAACTCTCTCTCGAGTTTCCTCTCCTTAGCCTCTGGCCTGGTGGCCTACATCCATGCTCTCCCTCTTGGCTGGGCCCATCCAGACTGCCAGACTACTGGGTAGGCACTCAGGGTTTGGTATTCAGCTTCTTCCTAAGATGCTCTATCAGGTCACCCCTTTGGCTCATCCCTTCACTCCATCCACCCTATCCTGAAAGTGATGCCTTGACTCCACATCCAGACGGAAGGACTTGGGCCCCACTTTGTCTGGGAAGAGGAATCTGACAAGGGGCCTGGCTTCTCCCTGCCCCAATCTCTACTCTTCCTCCTCTTTCATACTTGTACAGGAGAGAGCAGCAAGTAGGCCAGGAGGGACAGAAGGAAGGGAAGATACACCTTGTTACCAAAGGACAAGGGATTCCTGAGTGCAAACCACGTACCAAGCATGCTGCTATGGACTGAATGTCCATTGAATGGACCCAAAATTCATATGTTGAAACCTTACCCAATGTGATGGTGTTTGGAGGTAGGACCTTTGGGGACTATTAGGACATGAGGGTGGAGCTCTCGGATGAGTGCCCTTAAAAAAGAGACCCGAGAGAGCTCCCTCACCTCTTCCACC